CCTGACCCTAAACCTAACCCTGACCCTAAGCTAACCTAACCGTAACCTGGGATCTACCTATTGTTGACCTATTCAAAATGGCCGACTTGGATGTGGGGGTGTTGGATATCCATCCTGGGCTTCCTGCAGTCATATGTACTTGTGGTATCGCTGCTTCAGAATGACTTAAAGGCACAATCTGTCCAGTCAGTGTTGTCTTTAATAAAATGGCTAATACAGCTACTTTCTACTTGTATTTGATCACAAGAAAACCAACAGCTCTGATTATAGGAAATCTAAGACGTGAAGAAGTGACAGTTTCCTGTCTTCAGGTAAAATAATAAACACTTTATTGGTTGTTTTGACCTTTAATCAACCCTCTTTAAGGCATCTGGTGAGCCTCTAATGTGCCTTTTCTGTTTGTACCGATTGGATTAACTCAAATCTACTGGACGAGTTACCTTTTAAGTTAGGATTTTCTCTTAAAACTGACATAACAGAACATAACTTTTTCAGTAGCACATCTGCCACAGCGTCTCCTCTAAACAAAAAAAACCTAATTATGTGTCTACATGTTGAGTTTGTGATTTGTTTTGTGGCACAAAAGGAAGCCAGAGGATCATAAGTAACAGGACTTAGTGATAAATATGGCCAACGACTGTAGATACAGACTTTTTTGGGTGTTTAAAAGTATGAAACGGAGTCTATAATGATATCATTGTGCTTCAACACATGTTTTTGGGGCCATCCCTTGAGTTAGAGGTCTTTTTAATTGATTTGTAATTGAGAACCAAGAGGGTTGTGCTTCATGTTTTTCAACAACTGGGTCATCCCTTGAGTTAGAGGTGTTGTTAATTGATTAATAATTGAGAACTGAGAGGTTTAAAAACCCCAAAATTAGCTTGTTGGTGTGGGAAAACCCAAAGAAAACCTAAAGACAAGCTTCCAGGGAGCTGATAGACTGATTCCTTTAAAATATTCAAAGTCCAGAAATGAAAGCCCGGAGGTTTAGTGAGGGGGTAAAATTCTGGTACGTGTTTCCTGTTTATCTGGGGCACCTTGGGGGTTTATCGGGGC